TTGGCTCCATGCACCCTATGTGATTTCCCACATTTTTGGAGACAACTCGTAGTCTCCGTCACTGAGATGGGAGGGAAATCTTAGATATGAATAAATGGGAATGGAACGTAGATTAAAAGCCATATCTATGTAATGAACATGAATCAAATTAGGTTGTGGACTGATGTTTGCTTTTTTATCAGAAAATGGCAAACAAACAATTTCCAAAGCTTCTTGATGACAACAAGCTGAAGGGCCCGAACTATGCCGACTGGTATAGGAACCTTATGCTGGTCCTAACTTTCGAGAAGTTAGACAAAGTACCTAAAAATCCTGCCCCGGAGCGTCTGGGTGATAGGGCTTCTGAGGCTTGGAGGAGAGACTATCAGGACTGGGGGGAGAAAACTCCCTTGCCCGATGTTACATCATTGCCTCATTAGACAATCCGATACAGAGGCAGTTCGATCAGATCGATCTCACCAAGGACATATTGGATAGTTTAAGAACAATGTATGAAGAGCAGAATCGTTCTACTCGCAAGAAGGTCTTGAAATAGTTCATGACTGCTCAAATGTCCAAAGGGCAACAAGTTCATGACCATTGTCTTCGGATGATGGGTTACATCAATGAGCTTGAAGCTCTTGGATCCGGGCTGGATCTTGCGACCAAGATAGACGCCATCCTTAATTCTTTGCCTCCTTCCTTTAATCCGTTCATCCTGAATTATAACATGAATAAGCTGAATGTCAGCCTACAAGAGCTCAACAACATGTTGCAACGAGTGGAAGAACTGATTAAAAAGGATGAGCCTGTAGCTATGCTTGTTGAAGCTAGCAAGACAGGCAAGAGAAAGAGGAAGGCAAAGAAGCCTCAGAAGAAAGCCACTAAGGGTAAGAAGTAGAAGAAAGACAAAGCATCAGATGCCTGTTACTCCTACAAACAGACCGGCCACTAGAAAAGGAACTATCTTGCCTACCTGGAATCCAAGAAAGGTAATTTTGAATCTTGGTTATAGAAACCAATTTATTATTGCTTTTGCGTCCTGGTGTACTGACTCCGGGGCTTCAACTCATGCGTGTAACTCAGTGTAGGGGTTCAAGGTATGCAGAAGGCTGAGTGAGGGAGAAGTTACACTCTACTTGGGGACTTCTGCAACTGTTGCAGCCGCAGCCATAGGGACCATGGAGTTAATTTTTAGAGAAGGAACAATTGTACTCAAAGATTGTCTTTATGTACAAAATTTAAGAAGAAATTTGATTTCTGTCTCAAAACTGTGTGCGGATGGGATTACTATTAAAAGAAACAACA